TCCCAGATGGCACCTTCCCATAGCCTCCCTCCCCCCACTAGAGCCCTTATACTCTGATATCCCTGCTACTGTCTGCTGTGTTGTCAGCACACCAGCCATTCCCCACTACTTGCCCTTCTGGTGAATCTATGCAGCCTATCTAGAGGTCTTTGTTTTAGGAGCGTCCGTTAAACTAAACTCATTCATAGTGTAGTGGTGATATAGTAAAAAATTATCCCTTAAGTTTTACTATGTGCTATACAACATGGTGGTAAAATTAGTATTTTAATAACATCAAATGACTAGATTGTAATCTAGGTTTCAAAACATGCTGAATGTTAACTCTAAGGCAAGTTATATATTCATTTTCCCCCTATAAAACTGAGGTGATAACATTTTTCTACTTTGTATAAAAAATTTCAGAAGATATCATTAAAACACCTTGAACACAGCAGAGATATCAAAGTATAATATTACTATCACCAGGCAGCACCTTTAGTACAGTGTGTGTTAGTGCTTCTGAATCTCTGGTTGAGAGTACTTAATAATATAATATTGGGGCTGGAGAGATGGCTCAGCGGTTATAAGCACTGACTGCACTTGCAGGGGACATGAGTTTGAATTCCAGCACCCACATGGTGGCTAACAACCATCTATTACTCCAGTTCCAGGAGATCTGGTACCTTCTTCTGACCTCCATGAGCATTGCACAACATGGGTGTACTCACACACATGCAGGCAATACACTTATACACATAAAATAAAATATTAAAAAATAATAATGTAATATTAAATTATGATTATGCAGCATAGTGTAAAGAATCTTGTATTAAATTTTGATGTCTACTATCAGTCATGTAATTATATAAAGTTTATAGATATTTACTTTAAAATACATGAATGCTTCTCAGTAATGACTTGATATGATGTAATTTAATGTAAGTGACATAGAGGAGTCTTGAAAGAAAAATAAAATGTGGAAACATTCACCAGACTTCAGAGAGGAAGCAGATGTGTACTTGTCAAATGGTAAGGCATTTTGTAATCTGAGATATTTGTTGTTTGCTTTAGAAAATCTGAAGGAGTTGTGGAGCTGAAGAAGAAAGTTTAATATGTCATATCTTACTATTAATGAGCAGACGCTTGTTGTGATGGAAATGCAGTGTTCCTGGTATCAGTATGAACTTATGCTTTTGAGTGAAAACTTTTAATAAATGTATGAGTTCAATATATTTCTTGACAGTATACTCCTCCAAATGGATGCCAAGAATCATTCTTATGATTCTTTATAGTATTTATTAGGCAATAGTTTAATTCACTTAAACCAAATATTACTAAAAATTTCAAACAGTTTGCCATTAAAGTCAAAGTACTTCAAAGAAGAAAATTAGTAACGATTCTGAAACTCACAGATGATAAAAATGAAAACGAGATTCATCAATGCACCTAGATTAGTTAGGATTCAAGCACAAACAAATGTGTGGAAAGGCATAGAGTCTAGAGTTAAATGAATGTGTTCATATTTAGCAGCAATTTGAAACACTGAATGAATAAAATAAAAGTACTTAAGAACTAATAAAAATGTCACTCTCTTTTGAAATGTTGGGAAGCACTACCCCTAGAAATCAAAATCCCTTTAAAAATACCAATTAAAAAAGAAAAGATGTTTGGTTTTAGAGGCAAACTTTGTCTAAAAGAGTTTAAAGTTCTTTGGATTTAGCTATCAACAAAATAAATAAAAGGTTAAGAAATGGGCTACACAAATGACATGGATTTAAAATGTTTTTACTTGGGATCTAATGCTCCAGCAAGGCTTACAAAGAGAAGGGATCAGTTATGACTCAAAAATAACCCAAGTTATGATGGCTTTAACACATTTAGAAGAATTTTTACTTAGGTTCTATATAAATAAACTTTGTATCTACATATATGATGCTTAGATTAAAAGAAATAAAATACATACTTTTGTTATATGAGGAAAAATGACAGTTTATTGTAGTGGTATTGAGTTGACAGAATCAAGATGAATCTAGTCCTCACACTTTTTAACCTTTTCTTTCTTTTCTGCTTATTTTTTATTTTTTGAAAAGTAGATGTGTTTGCATTCAACCGTGTGTGCTCATCTAACCTACAGCGCTGTTTGGCTATGAATTACTCCACCTAAGGGACGTTGAACAAACACAGATTTCATGTTTTACTGGTACTTTTACAGAAGTCACACTGTTAATTAGCAAGGCTAAATTGGACCCCATGGCCAAGTATTCTAATACGAGATGAATGAGGTAATGCTGCAGGTAGGTGAGCAGAAACTTCCATTTGAGTTAGCACACAGAGCGCTCATCAATGAAGCCAGTGTCTCTCAGTAATTCTTCTGTGGAGCTCCAAATTCTAGGTGAAGCATGGAGGCTAAACTGCAGGAAAGATTTTAGTAAAAGGCTGTAGGAACACTGCCCGGTATTATGTCTCCAACTGAGGAAAGACAGATGATTCAGAATTCAGAAGGGAGCTAAGAAGAGAGTTTGGTGGGAATCAGAGGTAGAAGTCCTGACATGTGAATCCATATGCCAGGTATGAGAATGTGGGCTATAAATAACATGATATTTCAAAAATTATGGGGAAAAGTACACCATTTTGACTCAGAGCAGTAAGACACATCACTTTTCTTTATTAACATTATGCTCCACTCATTTGGAATACATGCTCTTAGAAAAAAATACCGGTTTTCACAGCTTCTCTCCTTAGCCTTATTTCTCTGACTTTTGGGTATCTGTCTTTCTTCTTCTAGGAAAATCTAATATTTATTTCAATTCATAGCTCCCATATCACTTTTCTCTGAAGCACTTCTGGCTTTTTCCTCACAAATTAGTTCCTTCTTTCTTTTTTACTGACAGAGTTTCTTTTGGGAACTCCAGTTTGTCACAGCATGTTATAAAGTGGTTCTTTTCAGCAGAGACTTACATGACTCCTCTCCTTGGCATCATGGTAGGCACCAGAGCAGAAAAGCATCAAACACAAACCTTGCTAGGTGTAGTGATCTTTGACTGCAACCTGAGCTCTCAGGAGGTGAAGCAAAGAGGATCAGGAATTCAAGGTGATCTTCTTTGCTGTGTAGTGAGTTCAAGGCCAGCCTTCCAGCCTGGGCTGTAGAGGACTCCATCTCACACTAAACTAAACAAAAACAATAAAATACCCTAGCCTTCAAAAAACTCACGTTCTAGAAAGGAAAATGGGTTTGTAACAAGTGTATCATACCACTGTGTTAAGTGGGACAAGAAAAAGTATAAGAAAGGCACAGTTTTACCAGAGATGGGTTATGTCAAGAATTGTTACACATAGTGATAATGACAACTCATGTCATTGGTTCTCTTCATTTTGAGCACTTTGAAGACAGGGTCATGTCTCATTCATCTTAGTATCATATCACCTCACAAGATTCATAATCAAGTTCTGTCTATGAAACTTGAAGAGTTAAAATCTAGATTTAATGGGCAAAGTATCCAAAAGCTTGATTTATTTTTCTTTTTATCTTTTCTGATTCTTTAAGACAAGATCCCCCTGTGTGGCCCAGGTGGACCTCAACTCACAATCCTTTATCTTCAGCCTCCTTTGGGATTGTAGGTGTGTGCTAACATTTCTGGCTCCCAATTTCTTTATACTTAAAATTATCCTAGTTTAATGGTTTGATTCTATTTGTATCATTGCCTCTGTCTGTTCATGCTTGAATGCTTGAAATGAACAAGTAAGATGTTTTCTTTGGATAGGCTGATCAGAAAAATAACCTAATTATAAGAAGCCCCATTTCGGCAACTTCATTTTTTTTTTTCACTTAGGGGGTCCTCTTTATTAACTTATAAAGATTCAGTTCTTTAAATAACTAATACAAGAATGTTTTAGAAATCTAACAAACTAATAGGATTTTACAAAGTTCTGAAAAATAATGTTTTCTTACTTATGGAAACATATACTACAAACATTGACATTAACCTTAAATAATTATTTCTAATGTAAAATTAAAATCATGAATGTCTTTGCATTAGGCTACTTTATATCCAGCATCATATTACACAATAAAGTGGTATTAAATCCTATTTGTTAAGTGTGTCTTTAAAACCATGAAACCTGACAGACACCCATTAAATTAAAATTGTGTTTAAAAAGAAATTCATAAAACAAAGATTTCAAAATATTATCCTAATGTGTTTGTATTAATAAAATGTTTGCCAGTGACCTTCAGGATAGGCCTATCAATGATAAGACATCTGGCATCTATATGGATCATAAAAGGAAATGGGTTAGCATATGTATGACACATTTTGGACTTTCCATCACCATGTTTTCTTTCCAGGTATGACATAAGAAGAACAATATTTAATTTAAAAGGTAAAAAACCACATTACCCTGAATAGAGAATGTAATTTACAGATGATTACAATTAAGAAATCTGTTTGCTAATTACACAGCACCCTGACTCTAGTTCTTGAATGTTTCAAAGCTATGTTCCTCAATGCCATATGTTATAGGGAACAGTAAAGACATCTGAATTCAAATATTTTGAAGAAATGTGTATTTAGCAACTGAATACATGCTGAAAAGGAATAATTTACAGCAGCAGTTTCATTACATTTTTCTCTCCAGTTTTCTAGTTCCTATCTGAAATTCAATGATAGTACAGATATGGGACGTATTTACTACTTGGTGTAAAGCATGCTTATGGAGGGGGCACACATTTCCCAACCTTAAACAGTACATAACTCCCTTGTCACTGGTGTGGCAAACCTTGCACTTGAGTCTTGTATTGAACACACTGAAATGGAGTATCTATAGAAACTTGCATCTTACTCTGTTCTTCATCTTTTTAAAAAATTATTTACACCTCTTTTGACTAATGTATTGGTAGCAAAAATATTAAACACTTACCATTATAAATCACTAAATTATGCATAAAAGAAGCAATAATTGTGCATTTGCATGCATTTATACTTTACATTTGCTATCAATGGGACCATGTTCTGTTAATTGTGATGCATCTTTTTCATACTTGAAGAATGCTGTGCTAATTTGCTAAGGACACATGCGTCTCTGAGTCAGGTTTCACCTGTGGTGACACATGCATATGTCAGTCTATCTAAACTGAATTAATAAATGGGAAGGACATTCATTCTTCTTCGTGCAAACTGCCCTCTCTCAATACACACCGGCAGATTATGACTGCCCTAAGAGTTTTTATCTGCAAGTTATGTCTCTAAATTTCTTTGAAAACTTAGAATAGTGGTTTTTAAAGACATGCCAGTATATTTATTTACTTTGGGTACTTTTAATTGAAGCCTAAATTTTTTTTTCTATTGATATTTCATAGTGATAAAATGCATGTAGATTTGAGGGAGGTATTCATGAAGTTATCATAAGATGTCGATCCCTTTAACACCTTTACTGTTAAGGACTAGAAATAAGTGAGATACTTAGGTTATGCAAACAAATTTGCTTCAACTTTAAATTTTGAATGAAATACAACACTGAATTTTAGTACAGTTAAGACCCTATAAAAAATGAATGGCCTATTTTGGAGTACTCTTTGTTCTTTGACATATTTCCAACACTATTCTCTGTACAGAAGTGTGATATTCAAATAATTTATCAATTAAGCTTCCCTTTGAGGATGGCCTTCCAAAAGTAACACATATTAGTCAAGGAGCCTAAAATTGGATGTAGATTATTTTTAGGCTTTTATTCGAAAGAAGTGTCAACAAAATGTTTATTTAAATAATCATTAAAACTGAAACATGAGACTCCATCTGTGAAATATTTCAGCAGAGAGGGAATAACAATTTACTGTAGTTTGAGGTGAGAAATTAATGCTGAGTTAATTAGAATCCAGAGACAACTAGAGTTAAATCTCAGTGCCACTTCTTTAATTAACAGGAAGATATTTGCTTTGAATTTTTGTGCACGATGAAGGAACTAAGAAGGGATTTCTAAAAAGACGAGTGTAGTGCAAACAGACTATATTGTAATGCACAAAGTCTTAAGCATCCCGAATTCATTGATTGGCAAGAAATCATCCTCAGACAGCAAAGGAGGCATTCTTAAGTGTTCTTTTGCATTATTTTGTAAGTTTTTCAGAAAATGAGTTTTATATTTTCTAAGTGCAGCATGTATCCTGAAAAATGGTTTACATAAATTTACTTCCATTGAGATGAAAACAACTATGTGCTTTTTGTACAAATAATTGTATTAAGTAGGGTGAATTAAAAGATAGCTCATTCAGAAGGAAATGATTAGGAAATGAGTTTTTACGGTGTCACTCTGAATATCATTGGTCTCTCTCTTTCAAAAATTGTTAAGTGACTGATATAATAATATAATTCCCAGTGGAATCATGAGAGACTTCTATGTCTCAAAAATCATCCAAAGACTCAAGCATAAAATTGAGAGACATTCTATTAACATTATGTTAAGACAGTTATCGTTATTTTCATGAGATACAATAGTTCATTTTTGCTTCATTGATCCTTTACATAGAACAGAATGCATCTAACAAATGAGTCTCTTCCCTTTTGTGCTGTCTTAATTTTCTGGTTGTCTAAGAATGTTATGCAAGTTAGAGTTAAGATAGATAATACTTTAAAAAATGGGAGGTGATACCTTCTATATGATTTCCTCAAAGGAAAAAAATCATAATTTATATCTTGGTTTTAAGAATTAACAGTTAAAGATGTGTATATGTGTCTAAAGTGATATTGTCTGTCCCTCTTACAGAGCAAAAAACAAAATGTAGAAAAAAAATAAGCAGCACACAATTGGAATTTTTAAACAAACTATGTAACACAGTAACTGTAAGACAGAAACCTACTCTACCTTAGAAAACAGCTAATTTTTACTGCATATTTGTCATGATACATTTAAATTATAGTTTTAATAAAATACATCTTTAGATCAAAGCTGAAAGAAGACATCAGTAGTAGATCAGTGTATCCCGTTATTCTTCTGGATGTTGGATGGTTTCTGTTTCTATATTTCCACAGACCACTTCATTCAGTTTCATTTTCCTTTTTTGACTCCTCCAGTACATACAAACATGAGTGCTGGTAGACAAAACATATCCTTGAATCAATTCATGTTTGGAATATTCATCAGCTTACTATATCCATGCAGTTTATTCTCAACTTTCAGTTTGATAAAAATGGCTTTGCTGATGCAGTTTTTCTCCTTTCAATGGCAAGTGACACTTTTATTTCTCAGGCAAAGAAGAAAGTGGAATCAGTAAAATGAACTATCGTAGGAAACATTAAGTCAGCGGAAGTGAACATCTGCGCTCATCAGTGATCTCTGTGAGGTGTTGATATTCAGAAGAAAGCCTGTTAGGAGAGTTACTCATGGACTTAATTTATAATTAGTGGAACTCAGTTGAATTTCCCACCATTGTAAACATCCACATAATGCCATGAAAAATGTTCATGTATATTGCATTTTTTCCAGTTATTGTCTAAGCAAGTTTCTACTTTTGAGGTTTCTAAGGTAACACAGCTCAGACACTCCTGGGTGCCCTCTCAAATTCGTGGGTCCTCCTGTTTCTACCTTTCTTGTTTTCCTGCAAGTGCTTCCACTTGTTACTGTTCCCTTGAGAATGTCCTGGTCTTTGCCTGCGTTGTTTTCGGTCCCTTTTCCACACTTGTTCACAGAACTCATCCATCGTGTTCAGGTTGGGGTGGTTGATGAGCTGCATGAAGTCTCTGTACCAGACCTTCTGGCTAGGCGTCATGCTGTTGGTCATTTCTTTGGTCTTAGCCCCATCTCCATCATCATCTTTATGAAGAAGTTCTTCCAAATGTTCTGTGTCAATAACTTCTAGGGTCACCTTAAGAAGAGTTTGCATGAATCCGTGCTCCACAGCATGACACAGGTAATTGCCAGAATCCTTCCTTTGCAGGCTACGTAGCAAGAGCCCTTGTTCCGTCCTGATGATATGATCACCGACTCTGATCTAGCAAGAAAAAGATATAGTAAAGTGTGCATACTTAGTAAAAATACATCTGCCACTCTGTATCCCTAAGAACTTAGACTATTTTTTGAGGCTCGTTTTAGTTGTTAATAGTTTTAACTTAAAAATGAAGAAAAAAATCCATTTAAAGGAAGAGTTATACTATCTGTTAATTGTTTTTGAGATCTTTTTGAAAGTATTTTTTCAATGTATATTTTTATTGACATTTTGTGCATTTCATACAAGACATCTTTATTCTTCCTCCCCCAAACAGACCCCCAAGCACCCCCACACTGTATTTCATGCATTCTGTCATATAGGGTAAGGCCTATGGAGTCAAGTTTGTGTATCCAGATGTCCCTCAATGCAAGTTCATTCAGTGAAGTCTAGTCAGCCTATCTAGAGCCTCTCCCAAGAAAATCAACTTTCCCTCACCCAGCAGTGATCTTGAAAATACTGACAATGCCACTATTTTAATAGAATTTCATATAACAATTTAAAATATTCAATGTAAATGGAAGAAAGAATAAAGGTATACTTAAAATAAGACATTTGAAAGTAAGTGTATAAATATGACATAAAATTAATGTTAAAGTTGGACGTGGTGGCAAATGCCTTTATTCCCATCAGTTATGAGGCAGAGGCAGGTGGATTCCTGTGAGATTGAGGCCATACTGGTCTATATAGCAAGATCCAGGCCGTCTGGGCCTACAAGGAGACCTGTTTCAAAAAAAACCCCAAAAATATAATAATAACAATGTTAGAGAACAAAATAGAAACTATAGAAACACGAGACTAGAAAATAAAGTATTAATATGAACCCAATATGATTTGAAAATAAATGAAAAAAATATCAACAGTTAAGCAAACAGAAGAAAAAAAATCCATTATTTCAGGTCTATTTTACTATTTGTTCAATTCACAAGGCCTTGGATGGTATTTAACCAGGAGGTTGTGATATGGATTATATCTAACCTCACCCTTACTTTAATGGTTTACAGTAGAGATCTCAGAAAGCCTAACCTAGAAATTTATAAAACAAACCAACATTTGACAATGTAATTCTATAGTTTAAATGCTTATCATGTGAAAAAAAGCTAATGTGCTTTAGTATTCATAGTGTGTTTGCAAAATGATCTGCCATAATACATTTTACAAGTGAATGAAGTAGTCTGGCTACCTTTATTTAATGCCATCAAGTGACTTTAAAAAGCTCGGAATACTTTCAGTGATTTCCTTATACAGTTCATTATATTTATGGATCTATTGAGAAGAAAATGCTTTCTGGTACTCTCTCAGTTTATATAAGAGTTGATGGTGCAATTTAAATTTTTAACCTAAATCACTACACCCTCTCTCAAAATCTTCCCATTTGTGGAAGAAATTTGGATAAAGAGAAATTAATCTGTATCACAGAATTTAGTGAGAAAAATATAAAATTAATAAAATTGGGAAAGCTTCATTTTTTGATGTGCAAATACAGATAACATAATTACTTTATAGCTTACCATTGTAAGAAAATAAGGAGACTCTAAAATATGTCTCCCCAAATACTTCCTGGACCAAAAGTCTTATCAGGTCACATTTGTTTCTCACACATATTCTGCCATGTAATAAGCCCACAATAAGTTCTTGTTTAATGAGCTATTCTTTAGTTCAGAAGAGGATCATATTCTCAGTACATTTTCCTCTTTAACTCAACAGTACTGGGGTCACTTAACACATGTATTAGACAGAAAGAATACAGTCAGCTGAATTCCTGTACCTCTTCTTTTCGTTCTTCATTTCGTCTCTGGAATTGCCAATAGACCAGTGCTCGCTGTGACTTCGGACTGCATTCCAGAAAAGTGCTACTATTTTCTACTCCATAGATGATTTTCTCTTCAAGGCTATGACCATTGTGGTTATCTAGCCAATGACAAGAACAGGAAATGACAAAATGTTATTGTAGTAACTTCAACTTTCTAAAACATTTCTTTCAAATTCAGAAGATACATTGTTAGCAAGTTCAAAATTGTTTTCAAATTGATTAAAGAGAGAAAAAATATCAAAGACCTAAGATTTCAGGCTCTAAGTATCTACCTAAATAGATTAACATTTTGTTATGGATTGTTTAAGGTATGCAGAGATTGGTCTACTAGTAAACAACATCCCATAAACAAAATTACTCATGTTCATTATAACCTTACATCTGTGTATGCTGCTAAACCTCTGTAGGAAATTATTTTCATTACTAAATTGTGGTCTGACTAATGGAGCCAGTTTTTTATTATACTAGTCTCTAGCAGAAAGTTTTTTGAACTCAACATTTGGAGGGAGGATCTGTTGCTGAAAAATTGTTTTGCCTCTTTGTATTTGTTTTTCATCTGTAAAATTAAATTCATCAACCAATAATATTTATCTAGTATTTTACAGAGGGAAGTTTATACTTTTCAACAATAACCCCTAAATAATTCCCATGTTTTCCTGAAGATCCGTTGGTGTGAAATGTTTGGGATGGCTCAGAAGAAAGATGTGTAATTAGAATGCAATATGGTTTCAATTGTCCTTGTTTTAAAACGACATACTTTCTATTATTTTGCAGAGTAGGCTATGGACTATGGCAGGAGCACATAATAAAATACAGCAATACAAAAGCCTGTTTCCTGATTAGGTTTCTATTATTTTACCCTTTATGTAACCTCCTTCAATGTGGTAACTGAAACACAGCTCACATCAAAAGTATGACACAGGGAATCTCAGTAAAATTCATTTAAAGAACAAAACTCTGTGTTATCTGGCATAATCCTGTTTCCATTATGACATCCTGTACAATCTGGAACTCATTAAATTAATTTAGAAAATAATAAATAAATTTTCACATGCATCGAAAGCTGACAGTGTAGACAGATGAAAATTCTCTGCTCTCAACCTCAAACTCAGCTAGGATTTTAATTTGAAAAATGTTTTCCCTCCTTTTTGGCATCACTTTGACAGTTTTACTCTTGTCTTAATCAACTTAGTACTTTCGTCTGTCATAACCAATAGGATTGCTTACGCTAGATTTACAGCTTTCCAGTACTCTGCTCCTATCCAGTCCCTGGTATGGCCCATGCTTCCCATCACCTAGCTTTTACTCTACTGCAACACACTTCTGTCATACTGTCATTTCTAAGGTGTCAGCATCAGTGTCTTCTCAACAGCACCAAATGGGAATCAAACTGGTCTGATACTTGGACATATCTGTCCCTTCTTATTGAAATCACCAATGCCCTGAAAATATAAAAATGTTATAGTCTGCAATGAAAAGAATTAACCACATTTCTTTGATTTTAATTCTGTTTATTTCATATAATGTATACATGTTTGCATATTTATACATATACAAAACAACATATACACATAACATACATATGTATACGTTCTGCAACAAATATGACAGGGTTTCTTTTCCTCTGCTAAAATTATTAGTACATCTTGAATAAATATGGCAGATGTCTCTGTGCTACTCGACAAGGCTTCTGTTCCCTGAGCTGAGGTGAAGTGCACTCCTGTGGGCCTGAGGGGTTAGACAATCCATGACTCAGGAACTACCATAAATAATTAGAATGCTTTGCCATGGAAGTCAAAAGCATTTATATTGAATGCAACTTTCTTCCTGTTAATTATTATACAAGATAAACTTGCCTGTGTACATTGGAGGACATCTTTCATTCAATCTCTGTGCTTGAATTATATCTGATTCCATGATAAAAGAAAATTCCAGAAAATTTAGAAAAAACAGGACAAAACAAAAACAAGGAATAAGGCCAGTTTCTTCCATGTGCAACCATGTTCCCTATGCCAACTCTCATTTTGAATCTATGATAATAATGAACTCATCTGTAAAAGCCTAAGGTATGTATTATTGTCCTCAAACCTAGAACTTTGTTTACAGGGTTAGTTAGTGGACACATACCTATGAAGATCAGTATGACTTGTATAATGAAATAGATTTTCAATAAAGTGGGTAAATGATCTTAAAAACCATCGACTTGTCTTCTTTGCAATTAAACCAAATATTCCTGGTAGATCTGGAAAACTAGTTCAGTTTTTAATTTTTCTTCATGTATTTTTCTTATGAGAGTAAAACTTTTCTAAATACCAAGAAAAACTGCATCTTAATTGTAAATGTTTTCTTATTTAAAACATCTTATCTGGCTCTTTGTTAAAGTTACATCTCATATGAAATGATATATGATTAACCAAATTTATACCATGTTATTATTAGTTTAACATAGTAATATGTAATGGTTTTCTTTAAGAAATAATGGCATTTGGGCTTTTCCTCACCTGAGTGAGGAAACAGTATCTGGTCAATTTCATTCACTGGCTTAGTGCCTTTACCTAGTTAACTTTAATGACTTCTCTCACCAATGCCTTAAGAACTGGTTCTCCAGTGAGTTGACCCTTTCTTACTCCCCTTTCTCCAAACAAAAAAGAAAAACATCTTCTAGGTAGTAAGCAGTGAAGTTAAAGATCCTGTTCCAATAACTATCAATCACAATCAGCATACAAAATCCTACTGCACTTGATTACAAATTCTTCTATTCCGTTTCGCTAGGTTGTGCTGCATCAGCCATTGTTACAAAACACAAAGTTTCATTGGATATAGTTGTTTTTGTGAATTTCTCCACAGTATGACCTCCTACCATCAGAAGCTGGCTAGCTTTCAATTTAGGATGACAACTTTCATTTATAGGGCCTCAAGCAAACACTCCTACTTTTGGGGTGCTCAGATGCAAACTTTCATTTCCTTACTTGATGCTTTATAGATGCCTAACAAATACCTTTAAAATAATGATTAGGAAGCAAGGAAATATCCCTTTATCTTTTCTGAATTTCTTCCCTACTACGTCAGACAACTCAGGAAACACTGAATATCAAATAGGTTGTATTCCTCAATCACACTTTTTTCCTCACTATTTCCTTCCTCTTTTTCTATCTAAAATTTTATGAATGAAATATTTTTTCATTCTTATATTTTCATCATACTAAATGTGATTTTCATTTAGTTTCAAACAAAAATCACAGCAGACAATTGTACATGTAATAGCATCATACTTGACTTTCAAATAATATATTGAAGTCAGTCACTCTATATAAACCAAATGCTTCATGTAGGACATATTGTTAATTAAAAATTTCCTAGAGGATATGAAAGCTTGTATATTCAGTGTAAACATACTCTAAATTCTCCCTCTGGATTCAGCCAGTTTGTCTGAGAGCAGCTGCCCTGGAAAGTTCTGTGTTTGTGGGTTACTGATTCTATCAAGTTCTCTTTGGTGAGAACCAGTGGCCTATGCTGAGGGAGCAACACTCCATGATGTTGCTCACTGTATTTATGTCACAATACTTGAGTGCGGAGTCTGTTGCATTGCAGTGTTTGCTATATGTTAACCTTTGGGAAATTTTTATTTTCTGTTTTAGGAATCATTGTGATTGTTTCATAACAACCAAGGTTTCAAAATGATCTTTTTTTTTTTTTTAAATACCATCAGGCAAATTTATATAATGCTCCATGACTTCTCATTAAACATAATCTTGTTGCATAATATTTTGGGATCTCTGTCAGTTTTCCCAGTTCATTTGTGAGGCATTATTGTTTATTTTTTCTTATTTTGCTTTATTATAAAAGTCAAATGATTGCAAAGTATTTTAAATGTCTGATGTTTTAGCAATTATAGACCATATAAAATAACTTCTAAATATCATTTTGTTTTGCTTAAAATATATTTAGGGGACTCCACGATGCAACCTCAACCAAGTTGTCTTCCACAATGAGGCGGGACTTTGTGATGATGCATCTATTTTTGAGTGACCAACACTCCTGGTCGCCCTATACATAGAACTTATAATCCTTCTGTCAAAGACTCCTTAATGTTGGAATTACAGTTATGTGCCATCACACCTCATTATGATGTCTATGATCACTGAGAAAAAAATTCATTTGAAAATTTGTATGTCTATTAAGAAACTGCCATGTTTTTAGAAGCATACTCATTGTAATTCAGCACAACTGGCAGTACTTTAATGATAGAACTTTATGGAGCAACTGTTTATGAAGAAATAAATTAATTAATATTTTAAAATTTCTCAGACCATTTAAAGACAACAAAACGAATCAGTATAAAATTACCACCTGGGCCCTGGAGACAACTCAGTGATTGTCTTGCATTGAGCTTGTTGTGCCTTCATGAAGACCAGAGTTTGAATCTAGCACCAATATAACAAGATAGGTGATACATGACGGCCTGCAACCACAGCTGGGAGAGGGTGGAAGAATCATTGGTGTTTGCTAACTTTCAGCCTAACTGAGAAAATACAATCCTCCTAGGCTTAAAAATGAGGGAAGGCCTTGTCTCAAAGGAAGAAGCAGAAGGTCATAGAGGAGGACACTGCATGCCTTCTGGACTCTGTGTGCATGCATGGGCTCAAGCAACCACACATACATGTGCACAAACACTACCCAGACACCTATTCACATCCACACACACACACACACACACACACACACACACACCAATATTAAATAAACAAATAAATAATTAAATAACATTTAAAGTAAAACAAAATTGTCAAGTGTTTGTTAAAGAAGGGAATTAAGGCTCCACTGACACTGCTTTATTAATGATTTCATTAAATTTCATTTTAACCTCAAAAAGCATAGCTATCAGTCATAAAGGATTTGCAGAGTTCTTTATTGTACTTTACTGTACTCTAATTCCCTCCTGTTTGTTATCATTCATACTTATCTTTAAAAAAAAATTCATGTCACTGCTTACCAATCACTTTTCAGCATCTATTTGGCTGAGAGAAGGAAAATTTAAGAAAATTTGTTTCATATTACCCAGATCTTGCAAGATATCTGTCTTCTTCTCTGCATATAA